GCTGAATTTGAATTTGATTTAAAATGAGAATCTTGAACGTCGTTGAAATGATGTTGCAGTTTCCACGTTTCCTTCAGGTTCAGAGCACAACAGAGAACTGAAGCTACTGGGAAATTAAGAGACTACTCCTTTAAACTTCTAAACACAAACCAAACACATACCCTGATAGATTTCATATTCATCTATTATTTTTTCCTTTTACGGTTCGAAACAGTCATGGAGTTCCACCAGGCCCTTTGTTCGGACCAATTCTTTTTACTTCATATTCAGTTGCTATGCAGATGGCACTAAAATATACATAAAACCATTCAAGCAGTTAGACTACTGCTATATGGAAATGTATGAAACAGATGATTTTCCTGCTTCTAAGAGAAAACAAATATCTAATTCTCCTTTGTGTGATGTTTATTGAAAAGTAGGCTTCAAGAAAAATGATAGTTTCATCATTCTGAAAACAAATAGACAAAATCTAAAACCCTAAGATAAAACATCTAAAATCACGTGCAAAGTTAACTGCTGCTTAGCATTACAAAAATGAAACAGCCACATATTTAAAGAGTACAACAATTGCTTTTCTCTTGACTCTCAGGAAGAATGGCTTCATAAACCAAACGGGAGAATTAAACAATCTTTATTTCTCTGTATTAAACAGGGTGTTGTGCTCGGCAGCATCACTTTCCTCTGAGCAGAATAACGATCCATTGATTTGTAAATAATCCCCAGATATACTAACATGTAAAGTGTCAGTTATTATCCCTGATGGTGACACAATATGCAAACTTCTAAACTCAAAGAAAGTTACAAAACATGTATATTCCTACTACATTTATGGCATTTATCTGGTAATACTAACTAACCTAAAACAAGAGACGTTTTCTCTGATTTAACCTCAGAAAGTGAGAAAAAAAGTGCATGTGTCTTTTTATTCAGTGTATGTAAACTTCTGGTTTTAACTGTAAAAACTATACATAGTTTGGCAAGAATTGCAGCCACTTCAGCTGCTCTCTGTTTTCTAGAGACGGCCTTGCTCTCTGTCCAGGTGTACACTGTTATTGCTGCTATTTTTGTAATACAAATGACCTAAATTGGACTTCACCTAAATGGTCTAAACTGTTTTACTGATGTAATGTGGAACAGAAATAGCAAATGATGGTCGTACAAAAGCAAAAGCACAGTCACATTCGTGTAGGTGTAACAGCAGCGACTCGTTACACGGAGAATTTATCCACTTTGAAAGTCTGAATGAGCAGAGCGTCACTTTACTGACGATCGTTTTTTAAGCTTAAAGAAATGATGCCAGAGCTGATCGCTGTCATTACTGTTTGATTTTTATTTCATATCTGATGTTAAAATGGAAAAATACTTAAATCGTTGTTGATAGTTAATTTCATTACAATTTTCCAGTAAATTACTTCATACACGCCTGTAGCACACTGTGAAAACTCATGAACTCACAAAATGTTCGTTCCTCTCTCCCACACAAACGTATAAAAAAGCTGCAGATGGCGAGGCGCCGGTGGAGGACAGACTGTATCCTTGAAACATTAGAGCACATGAATCAAGGAAATGTTGGGGACCACAGACCTGGACTTGTAAAAATGAAAATGTATGCAGTTTTTTTTTTTTTTGGCAAGGAAATATGCCAATTAATTTAGTTTACAAATTGTTTTGTTGCATTCAACAGAGAATCTAAATTTATCATCTGAATGCTGGATGCTTCCTATGAACCTCAATCTGTTGCGTTTTGGAATCATTTTATAGGAAATTAATGGGACATCCTGAGAATTAACTGAGAATTGTGGGCAATTTAAAAAATAGAGGTTGTTTAAATCTATTTCATTTTTATCTAAACATAAAAATAAACACGTTGGTTTGTCAACGGCAGGCAAGCAGCCAGGAGACATTTTCATTTTAAACTTCAACCTCATCCAACTTTTGCAGAATACCATCAAAAGAAGTTACTCTACTTTGCATATGGCTACAATAGTTTTGTGGTCTGGTTTTGTGAAATTTTACTCTTCTATCCCATCTACTAACAGCTACCATAAGGAGACAATCAGTGTTATGCACCTCTCTTGCCAGTAAATATAATGTTATAGAATTGAGGTGTTTAATAACAGATCATTTGTGAAATTGGTTCCATCTAGCCTGGTAAAATCCAGCCCCTTGTTCTACGCTTTGCTTCGTCCAGAGGCCCGGGTCCTCGGCTACTGAGAAACGATTTGCTGTAGGATGGACTCTGATAAAAGTTTTAAATTTCACCCAATCACTAATATTTATAAGTGAGACCAACATGAACTGAACGGCTCTGTTCACTTCCTCTGCTGCCGATATTAGAATCACCGACAAATTATAATTGTAAAATCGACGTCAACATTCACAGCTTCTCCTGTTCACTGATTGGTCTGGTAGAGATTCTACTGCAGGGAATCCAGTTGAACTGGAGAAAGCTCTGATGGAGCAGTGAACAGTGGTACTGGTAAGACCGTTTCCACTGCACATTTGGTGTTTGAACTATTAAAATAGACAGTTATAAACTTTGTTTCAAGTAGTCAGAAATCTCAGGTGTTCATGCATGGTTGTGGTCAGTAACTCCTCACCGTACACTGTATTATTACACCCCAGATGTCCAGTGTTGATAGACCAACTATTCGGTTTCTGATAACCTTCATTTGTTTACAAAGAACAACCCACATATCATCTTTTGAATTCCTCTCATAATGAAATCAACCTGGAAAGAGCAACATCATCATATTCAAGCAGCAGCAATTAAACACATGAATGGCTGACTGATTAATCACAGTTACACTGTTTGGCAAGTTTTCCATCAATCCACTAATCAGCAAATTACAGATTTCAGAACTGCTTGACTGAATGTCGAGCTCTTGGGATTAATGTCGTCCCTTGCCAAACAGAACAAAAGACAAAGACACAAGGTGGATTCAGGATGGTAATATATTCGTACCACCTCCAGCACTGGGCTTCTCCTCCTGTTTGAGAAGTCTAAATTCAGGTTGAGGCCACTGGGGTTTGGCAGAATTCACACTTTCAACAAATGCTAAAACACACGGAGCAGGTGGGTTTTACAATGAGGAAAACGCATCTGTGCTCTCATCCACGAAGTGGGGCCGCGGCTATTCGCATTTCATACACAGATAAGCTTTCCTTCTCCCTGCCAGGTAGGTTCCCACATGAGTGGATGAAGTGTGAGAGATCTGGGGGTTTCACAGATGCTTGCTGCGTTGCTTTTCAACGGCCCACAGCGACTCGTGTAAGTGTGTGTGGGGGGTTGTTAGGAGCAGCAACAGACAAATATGCCTCATCGTCCAAATAAAGAAGCTGGTGAGACAGACAACAGAGACGAAGCTGCATGTGAAAGGAGAGTTTAGCTGGGGGGCTGTGTTGATAAATTTCTTTCAATCCTTTTAATCCAATTTTGAAAGTGTTTAAAAGCGGAAATTCAAACAGTTGCATTGCTTTCTCCTTCACTCCAGGTTTTATTATTCTGAGTTTTTGAGTATTTTCTTGCATCTTCTTGTACTTGGAGTCTGATTGAAGTATATTTTACTTCTATTCATTATCTGTTTCTAGAGTTGCTCATGGTGGCAGCATGTTGGGGTAGCCCTTAGATCTGAATTGTTCTTTTTGTAGACTTTGTCTTTTGTTTGACACTGTTTGAACAATTACTCTCTGCATTCAATGTATCGTTTTACAACTGGGAGCAGCTGATTAGCATCTCAAGAGCTGAACTAGAACACAAAATCCCAGTGGAGTTGAAACAGAGAGAGGAAGAGGTTCAAACCATCTGTTCAATTGGTCATAATGGGCAAGAATCATATCCCCTACTCCAACATTTCTACCCGATTTCTGGCCAGACAGAAATTTAATGAAGAGCACCAAAAACAGACGAAGTGGATTATCAGTGCTTGCCACCAATTGATGTTATCCAATACATGCTATGGCGAAATATTGTCTGTGTCCGTGGACTGAGCTGTTAGCATCCTACTTTCTTCAGTCAGTGCCATTTTGTAGATTTGTTGCAAAACTAATTGCTGTCGGAAATCCTTCCAACAACATCTCCATCCACAATAACACGTTGAAGATAATTGAATGAAATGAGTTACAATAACATTTAATTTTGATTTTAGGACAAATTAAGCACTTTTGAATTGCACTGAACTGAATGTCAATTTCTTCACTTTTTCCTAAGTGACCAAATCTTAACCTGTTTTTCAATCTTTATAACAACCCTTCAAAAAGCCTGCAAAGGGATAGAAAGAAATGGCAAGCAACTAATTTTAACCACAACTGGCAGAGGAGAGAAGTGACTGGTACACACCAAAGTCAAGCTCTTTGTTGAATGAACAATCGACTCATTTGTGCTCTTAACGCGTTTCGTGACCTTCAGCATTCTGGACACTAATCTGCACCAGGCGTAGACATCTACTGCAGCAAGTCACTTGGAATACATTAGACAAAAGTTATTGCATTCCAAATGTCCTTTGCATTTTGATATTGCACATTTCGTCAGCTCAGTGTAAAACAAATGTGCATCTTTTAGACATGGTATTATATATATATATATATATATATATATATATATATATATATATATATATATAAGCATAGACATGTGAGAAATATTCCCAAGATTATCTCTAGATTTCAGACTGCAGTGTTTTTTCCACATTAGGCTATAATGGAATGCTAATGAGTAATATTAATATTAAATAGCAATCACATAATTTTTGTACAATAGCAGAAATTGGTAAGTCTGTGCACAGGTTTTAAGTGTCCAACACTGAATGAAATGACTGGTTAAGATGATAAATATGTGCTGAATATTTAAACATGAATATATAACTACTTTGAAAACACTCACTCACACACTATTTTCTTAATGCACAAAGAGTCTGGAAACCCCTACAACTGGACACATTGTACACAACAAAGTGTGTTATATTTCAAACACTTGTGTGGGAGAGAACAGAAGCATCAATAAAATAATCTGGTTCTGACTGGAATGTTGTTTTTAATCAAATATGCCCAATATCGCAAATTTGCATCATACCCAATTCAACACTCTTAATAAATGCAAATAGATGCATCTCTAATTAAGTACACTGGCAGCAAAAATCAAATATATTTTTGACTGGATATCAATTTAAGAGAAAAAAAAGTGATTTTTGAAGCATTGGACATGGTAATAAATATTCAGAGGTAATTTAAAAAAAATCAGTTAATTCATTAGTGCTTCACTGCATTGTGGTATCTGTATTTCTGTTCTTTGACTAAATAAATCTAAATTTGTTAGATCATGAGCTCTAATACAGTGAAAAAATCAAGATCTCACACTGACCTATCTACATTATAGATAAGTACTGACAAAACCGTTAACACTGATTTCATCAGTTTGATCATTCATTTAAAAGAAAAGCTTTAAACTTGGAAATAAGGAAGATTTTCAGTCCGTGCATGACCTTGGGTGAAGAATGAAATGTCAACAGCCTACAGATTTTTCAATAAATTCAAAGTACATCTAAATTATTATTCTGATTGTTAGATTAGATAGTTGTGTTTACATTATTTCTCACATTTTTCATTTAAGTGAAACATTTTCTGACACTAGGGAGAAACGTATTACATAAAACCATTTTAACATTGAAAATGATTTTAGAGTGAGTTTAGAATCTGGCTGCCGGCACGAGGCTGTTGACTTGTTTCCCTCTAATTGCTTTCTGAGATTCATTCTGATACACAGAGAGCAATTTGACACTTTGGAACATGATCTGACAGCCTGGCAGCAGCTACCGAGTACAGTAAAGCCCTTGGGGTGAGGAAGTGGGCAGATGTTGCAAAGTGAATGGTGCAGTCACAATTTTGGAAGCTGTTCCAATGAAATCTGATTATGTACTGCACATCTTTATGGAGCGTGAGCAGCAATAGCAATGCATTAAATTGTATTGTTGTTTTACACTATGGATGAAACAATGTGAATTATTGTGGTGTAAAAAGTTATTAATATGTAAAGCTACAATGACATAACTTACAACTTGAATATTAATTTGAGTAACACCTGACAAACTTCAGTGTATTTTAGTAGGATTTTATGTGACAGAAAAGAGATGAATAAATCAGAAATGAAAATGACGTATTGCTTTAAAAAAAATATTGAAACAAAAACCTGATCACTGTTCAATATATTTGTATTCAGGTAAATAAGTGTACAATAGAACGGTGCTTTGCTGCCATTTACAGCTCCAGATGTCGTGGGGTTTGTTTCTACCAGCCTTGCACAACTTTCACTTTTGATGCACTTCAATTCTGAACTGTGATTGTTTGGATTGGCATCAAGGTTGTGGAAATTTGCACTGCTGTATTGAGACATTACTTTAGTGTAACGTAAGTTAACCATATTATTTTATATATATAAGCTCTACACTGCCTCAAAATGGCTGGACAATTATTAGCTGACTTAATCAGCTAATATTTGCTTGTTTTTTTTTAAATATTACTGTGTCATACACCAATAACAGTGATAGGAGAAGGCGGGTTTACAGTTGATGAATTGAAATGGGAGGGAGGACATGTTTCACTCCAGATTTGGAAGGTGCTCTTGCAGAGTAGGTTCTCCTGTGTTGGCATATTGTTTAGGTAAAGTGGTTAAACTTCTGCCATGTGTTTGCTATGAGCACTGCATGACCTGTAAATGTACTTTCTCTGCAATTACACCTGCCAGACTTTGGGGATCTGTCGCTACTAGCTTTTCACATGTAGTTCCTTCTTTGTAAAATGGGTGTGAAGAAAATGATTCCATCAGCATGACCTTTTGAATTAAGGATTGTGTTTTCAGAATGAAGTGTTAGCTTTCCTGCACACCTAGCATGTTAGAAATTATGCAAAACTGGAGTATATTTCCGAATTGGGTTACTTCAAAAGCAGCATGAGTGTAGATATTATTTTCAAGAAATATTTTTAAAAACCAGTTTATTCCAGTTCAACAGGATGTGTTACTTTTTAATGGCCGATCACATAAAATAACAAGTTTGTGTTAAAACTGCTGTCAAAACTTGATATTTATTTTTCTTACTGTCTATGACGCATACATCTACATAATCCTTCCAGCTAGTGAGTTGGAAATGGATCTAAATTCCAGTGCATTCTGGAAAACAACAGCTTCAGCACTGAATATATTCTTTGCTGCAAGTATTCAAGTTGCATTGAAATTCCCATGGCCGTCTTAACTGGAGCGGACAGCCCCCCACGGCTCGCCTCTCATCCACCGCAAATCTGCAAATCACTATGGATGCCATGTCCATCACCTCCTCACCTCCTCCTCTTTCTTATGAGGCACTGGCATGGTCCAATTAACATCCCAGCGATGCATCGTGAAGGGTGAGCCGGCCTGGCAGGCGTGCAGCACACTAATGTTTTATCAGTGCCACGCATTTGGGTTTCTCTTTGCACTGCGACTCTGACAACTACCTGACACGACTCCCCCCCTTCCACCCTGTCAGGACTCTACACAGCTTCTAAAATAGACTCTATACAGTAATATATGCAGGGAATGTAAATTAAAAAGCCACTCTGCTGCTGTTCCACAGTGGAGGATGTGTGAAAACACATGTTTTGCACTGTTTTATTCAATCCTTGTCATTTTATGTTCACTCCAATAATGTCCATCAGCATGCTTCCACTCCATTCTGCTGAGCTCTCCTCCAGCAAACTGCTGAATATCTACCGCCCCATTCTGTGATTTGCTGACTATAAATGTGTAAATGAAATGCCTGAAGCTTAAAATGTAAATCTGGCGGGGGGTAAGTGTGATACGAGACGCACCCAGGTGACTAGAACACAGCTCTTCCATAAAAAAAAGAAAAAAAGGGTGAGGCACCCAGAGTGAGACCAAAAGGCATTACCCATCAACCCGACGCTATAAAGCAGAGAACAAAAATGAAGCACTTTGAGGCAGCCCCCAGGATGCCAGACACAAACGCACAGCGATTACATAATGACAGTTCATCCTTTACAGCTATTTAAAAAAGGCAACGTCTCTGAGCAAACACTCACGAATGGGAGATGGAAATCCAAACCCTCTAATAGAGCATTAACTATTCATGCAGCATATTGGCAATCAAATGGCTCTGTTTTCATATTCTGCAAAGTCATTCTAAGGCCTAAAAAACGGAACAAAAATGCAGAGGGAATAAGCTCATATGCATCAAACCGGAAAATATGTTTTTTTACAATATATAAAGCTATTCAAACTTTTTAAATCTCTAGGTGAAAATAAGTTTTTTTTTTTATCTTATGTTACTTTGACTCAAATACAGATGAGCAATGCTTTCCTGATGCCACAAGGTCAAAGCCAAACCCAACACGACACCTCAAGTTGGTGCTGAAGCATCTTCTGGCATAAGTGCTTCTAAAACTAAGAACCTCTCGGATTTAAAAGAACTACACTGGCAGGAAGTCAAGCTTTCATTTTTCTTGTAGTTTAAAATGCACAGTCCTGTGAATAAACTATTTTCCTGTGATGAAGAAATTGGCATTTCTGGTGAGGATCGCCACATTTATTCCACTTGAAATATTTAAAACAGCATCTATTGATGTTTTTTTTTTTTAAAGACCATCTATTACCAAGAATATACATCTTGGGAAGCTGAACTACCTAAACACAACACTACTTAACACACTATCGGGAGCGGTTTGCCGTCCAGCAGTCATCTTCCACCTCATCTGGGTTTTGGTCATGAGCGCATTTATTTTTTCTGCTTTTGTGCCAAACCAGTTTCCACTGTGTGCAGTTCTGGATCAGACTTCAGTGAAATTATTGAATATTCTATCACACTTATTTTCTGTTGATATTGATCTTTTGAAATGTACATTGCTACTGATTTTATGCTCGGCTCTACCTATTGTCACATTCACCCATTTCACTCATTAATACACAATCTCACACATTCATCCACCAATCAGATGATCAGCAGGCAGCCTGTGGTGAAGTGTCTTGCCAAAGGGTAAGAAGGAATCAAACAAACAACTATTTTATGCCAAGACACCCACTGAGGCACAGTTACCACAACATATACAAGTAGATTCTTTCCACGATGGCAACATGAATACCTAATGGTCTACCTGTAGCTGGTTAAGATCAAACACTATACTACTGGAACACAATAGCAAACTTCATTTCATGATACTCGACTGCTTGAATCACATTTTGAGTTCTCAAGTCTAAAATGTTTAACATTTACCAATGAAAACATCCCTGGAAGGTGATCTAGTCCAGTGTTTTTCAACCACTGTGCCGCGGCGCACTAATGTACCGTGAGTGATCGACAGGTGTGCCGTGGAAATTATCCAATTTCACCTACTATATTTTCCGGACTATAAGCTGCTACTATTTTCCTACACTTTGAATATGCGGCTTTTCTGTGGATTTTTCTTCAACCACCAGGGGACTCTTTAGCAGTAAGTGAATCATTGGAAGTCAAAATTGGAAATCAAGGAAGAATGCGCTAATTTTCATTTGGAACAAGCACATGCTAGCAGCAGGCACGACGGAGAAATGTTTTCAAACTCATATGATGCAGCTTCTAAGTTGAAGAGTATCGATCTGGCACTACAGGAGGGAAATAAAGCCGCTGCACGTAAACTCGGCGTGAACAAAACCGGATTTGGAGACGGAGCACTGCGTCCTTAATATATCCAGCAGTTATTAGGACGCAGCTCTCTGCTGCCCTCTGCTGGGTCCTTATGGAAAACCGAGAGCGGCAGAGATACCAGCGGCCTGTAGCCCGGTGCGGCTGATATATGCAAGTTTCCGGGGGGTTCAAAAAATTTGAAGGTACGGTTTATAGTATGGTGCGCTCATAGTCTGGAAAATACGGTAATTGGTCTTAAAATATTTTTTGAAAACGAATTAATTATCTGCAAATAATGCCACCTTTGAGTGTCTTTGCTGTAGTAGTGACTAGCGGCGTAATCATGTAATTTTATTACCACTAGATGGCAGTAGGTACAGAGCATTTTACATTAAAACAAGAGAATTAGTGATGCATGAATGTTACTGCGTTCATGCATCACACCACAGTGTTGTGGCTGTTCAGGTGTTCAGGTGTATTTTTGAAGTGGACATGTTTACAATTTGAAATAAGAAATGTAAAATATGATAAAAATACATTTTTGGGTTTATTTGATTCTTATTCAAGACACTTTGATAAGAATGACTATATATGTAATATAGGCGGCTACAGAGTATCTTTGTTTACATTTTTGGTTGGTGGTGTGCCTCATGATTTTTTTTCAATTACAACAATGTACCTTGGCTCAAAAAAGGTTGAAAACACTGATATAGTGAATTATTGAGCATCAAGAAACCTCTAAAGCTGTTGTTTTTTGGTTTCCTTGAAGTCCGTGCAGGAGAGGGTTTTCATTTATCGCGAGCTCTTGAGATGAAAAGCATAAACACCATAATGCAGCAGCCCACTGTAGATGCATGCCCACAATCAAACTTCCTTTTACAGTGCTGAGAGCTCTTAAAGGAAATGCTTTGTTGGTCATTCGTCACTGCCAGAGAGTAGGAGATGAATCATTCTAATGTTACTTTCACCCATACTGAAGAAACCAATAGTGCAATAATGTCAGAGTGATGCATACTGCTCTGTGTCCTACTGTAAAACTCCAACATCGAGATGAGAATATGACAAAAACATTGATTTCCAGCTAAAAGTCAACACTTTCTCAATAATGACTTCCTGATATCATTGGTGAGGCTCATCAGATTGTATTGTGCCGTCAAACTTCGTATGCAAGTGGAACCGGTCTCCTGTTGGGTTTTTGTTGTGGTAAAGTTTCAAGTTGGTGGAAACGCAGATTCTGTGAGTTTTGAGCAAACCTAGTGTGGATTTACAGAATAAAACTCTTGTTTTATAGAGTTTTGTGCTTTTTTTCATTGTGCACAAAGAGAGTGCATGAGTGCAAACATTTAAATGAATAATGCCATCACCAACAATGGAACCCATAATCGCAAAGATCCTGATACTCTGGTGTTTATGAACAGGAATCTTCAAATAATGTCCAACAGCAGCTGATATCATTACTAACATAACTAAAGAAACTTTATGAAGTAAATACAGAGACAAGTCATGTGACAAACCTGCCATTCAAACAGCTGACAACTAAAAATATATAGAAAAAATTGGACTTTATAAAACAGCAGCTGTACTATCAAGAAATATCAGTGAATATGTAGATATTCACTGACAAACTATTAATGGCAGTAGATGGGTTTTTTTTAGAAGCTCTTGGAATTAGAAAAGCAGGGCTGAGCACATCGTTTATCATTTGTCTTGATAAATGTCTTGTCACGATAAGAGTTTTAGTTTTTTCACACCTCTTTATGCACACGTATGATAATATTTTTCAAGACTAGTATTTGTGTTTGTGGGGCTGTGCTATGCAGTCACACCTAAAAAAGAAGAAATACACAGTTCTTATTGTCACATTTATAAGCTGTTTGTTAAACTACAAAGTAGGGGGCATCTTGCATATTTAACTAGAATTTACATTTCTGATAATGAATCTTTCTCTGAATCTAATGGAGTCAGACAAGGTGGAGTTTTGTCTCCCGTTTTCTTTTATAATTTATCTGTTGAATGACATGATTGTAAGTCTGGGCGTACGACGTTTACGCTTCTTGTAAATGATCCAATACATGCAGTTGTGGTGAGTAAAGTGAAATATACTGCTCAAAAAAATAAAGGGAACATCTCACTTTAATTTTGTGTGTGGCTCCAAATCCAGGCCTCCATTGGTTAATAAATTTGATTTCCATTGATGATTTTTGTGTGATTTTGTTGTCGGCACATTCAACTTTGTACAGAACAAAGTATTCAATGAGAATATTTCATTCATTCAGATCTAGGATGTGTTATTTGAGTGTTCCCTTTATTTTCTTGAGCAGTGTATTTAAGCCATATTCTAGGAAGTGATCTCTGTGATGTCGATACAAAGAGACAGCTCTGCCAGCTCTATATGCAAGCTAATATGTTGGCAGCGCTGATGTTGAAGTGCTCGCTTTTCGAGCCTATTGTAATTCTCTTTATACGGCTCACTTGTGGTGCAACTGTACTAAAGCTGTAATGAAGAAACTGCGAGTGGCTTTTCAGGAAGCATTGGGAATCCTCCTCAGGCTCCCAGGACGGACATCACCAAGTCAAATGACAGTCATTGAAGAACTAGATGAGTAAATTTGAATGAGTCAAATAACCTAGTAGTTAGCGCTCCGTCACCTCTAACAAATGGCAACACAAGATATCCTGGAAGACGTTCTGTGATGGTTGGCTGTTCTCTTTTGTTGGTTTTATTATGGTATGGACTCATTTTGTTTAGATTAAAGGTTTATATATTGACAGTAGTTACTAGACAGCAAATTAAAACATCAGAGCCAAATCTGAACAAGGAGTATGTAAAATGAAAAAGCAGCACTGACCAGTAATTTTTACCCACATCAATAGGAATATCAAAACAAAACCCATTCAGGGATAATCTAATTTTCACTAGGTGGTGCTCTGTTTTCCCCGCTGCGAGCTGTTCTCGCTGCCTGTTTCCTCTTTAACTAATTTCAAATGAACAGCTGTGTCTGCTGCCAGGAATCTGAAACGCAGTGTTTAATGCACGTTTGATGCTCGATGTGAGCACTCATGTTTGTTTGAGCTCAGCACACGTCCCTGTTGGGGTAAGCATGTCTATGAAATGTAACACCAAAAATTCTATGCATCATTTATATCTGCAAGCCACACCACCATGTGACACGGGTGCATTCGGAGCAGGGGGATTATTTTCCTTTATCACCTTCTGGATTTAAAGAAAAGATGGCATCACTGACAAGGCTCATCAACACTTGCCTTTTCAAAGCCACAGCTCCCACAGGAATCAAAGCCCTGAGTGGCAGGACGAGCCAGTCACTTACCAGGTTTTGTTTGCCATGATGGGAAGAGAATGTAGGGGGGGGGGAGGAGGCGTGATTCATCTTTTAAAAAGCCTTGCGGCTGTGCTGTTATAGTAATCCACTATTCTCCCTCCTGTCTAGTCTGCGAGTGATGTGGCTGGAACTGTACTGGGCTCACTGTAGCCACCTGGAGTGAGCCAATTCTATCATGGACCATGAATCCTGGGGGCAGCCTGTTTGTTTGAGGTTGTTTGTACTCAGTGTAAAGAAAGCTTGCTCAGAGTTTGCAGTTATAGCTTTCTTTTTAAGAATATCTGACCTCCTATCCAAAAGTAGAAGAAGCTGACTTTAAATGTCAAAATGTTATGTTTTTACACCGAATGTAGCATTTTAAAACTATATGTGACATGAATTAACTGTTCAAAGCAGAAACCAGAATAATAAGACCTGACCTTCATCTTTAATTGCCTCTTAAAATGTGAAAATTCAGTGTCATCTCTGATGTATTGTCAGTCTATTCTATAAATACGGCTAAGACAAAAAGGTGAAATGTCTGGGAGAAAACTCTTCATTTAACAGCTTCATTTGCAGCAACAAGTTAGGGTAACGCAGCTATACTCTATAGGTCAGGAGAAGTACCACACTTCCTAACACATAATTTAAAGGAGTTTTAAACTGCTGTATCAGTATGATGATGGTTTGAATAAGCTTGCTTATTCTTGCTACTTCCTGTCGTCTTCTTCATCTTTTCCAGCAGTAGTAACGTTTGGATGTTGATGACGACACAAGATGCAAAAGAAAAGTTTCCATTGCTTTTTGTGAAATAAAAAAACACCTCATCCTAGTGCAAAAACATTTTATTGAAAAATGTGAGTTTTCTGAAATTGGCATGTTTCCATTAGGTGAATTTATTTTCATAATTCCAATGTGTACATTTATATGGTGAATGAAAAGGCAGCTGCTTCCGGGATGCCTAAAGCCTGACTTTAGTGTTCCTGTTGAAAAAATGTCCAATGACTAACGTTTTCTATTTTTATTTGGGATAAATACAAGTGGAAGTTCCTTTTATTAGACTCTCATGTACAGATGACTGACTGCTCGAAGCAGCACTGCATTTAAAACGGGGCTTAAAAGTGTAAGCGCAATAAATGGAAGGTTTTTGTAAAAACAAGTGGTACACCTGTGGAAATCTGCTCCATACCTTCACCGTATATGAAGGAAGCTTCCTTAATCAACAGCACAGCGCCAGTAAGTCAAATGTGTGATGTAAATTGCACTTTTTGATGTGTTAAGTGATTATTAGCAAATACTGCAAATTGCTGCCATGCTGCGCAACATGCCCCATTAAAATGTATGCTGTGTTTTGAGTGTGACTGATGCATACACAAGCATTCACACTTCGGTTGACAACACATCAGGGGTACTTGCCACTGGTGTCAAAGGAGGATTACAGTGATTTAAA